TTGACCAAAATTAACACCGTTAGGGGTATTTTTGAAATAAAAAAAAAAGCGGACTTAAGTCAATATATATAATTTTAAAGATAGACTTAACTCCTTATAAGTTCTCTTACCGAACTTATCTCCAAATAAGTACATCTAGGGGGACTCACCCCCAATTTTCACTTTTTTTTTTTCCAAAGGAAATAAGGGATTATAACCATGCACCACATATAATCAATGCCGTTACAATCCTCATATACTTGTAATTAAAGTCCAAGCTTCAATGACAAATAATTTGCCCGTTTCTATAGTTTTTTTAGTCGAATTGGGATGATTGATGGGTAGGGCTAAATCAATGGTTCAAACTCGACTCACTTTCTTCAAGCCCAAAGTGAGCCAAATGAGTCCAAATAGTTCTACTATTTTACCTATATAAGAGTCGAGATTTGTCATCTCGAGTTTTTTTAAATAAACTTAAAAAATTATTTAAGTTGGACTCATTTTCTAAATTATTTGACTTAAGTCCAAGGAACTTGACTCGATCGTCAGCCCTATTGGTGGGACTCAAGCTTCTTACACCTGTGGTTAAGGTAGCCGAATGGGTGTAAGCCTTGTTGCTCGGAAACACCTAGTGCTGACCACAGTGAGAGACATGAAAGTGTGGGTACGCCAGTCGGCGAGAAGGGTACCCTATTACTCGGTTAGTCTTCTTTTGTTCGCCTGTTTCTATAATGGATTATAACGATTGCGTAAAAAATGAATGTTTCACAAATTTGATGGCAGTTTGAACTCAAAAATGAATGCTAGTTGTTCTATATGGGGTTTTGATGCCACAAAATTCTCCAGTTTGGCATAATGTTTGGAAATGTAATGACCTTGCCTACCCTTCAAGAAAGCTCGAATAAACTCTACTTCAGTTTCACGCCTAGCCAGACAATAATATCTTGTCAAGCCGTTTTTGGAAAATTGGTTTTCCAAGAATCCCCTCACCTGACAATGCTTATAAATGAACTCTGTATTCGAGTTTCGATTATTTGACAATGTCCTTGCTTTGGGGAGTTATGTGAATGGTGCAACAGTCAATCATATATGCGTGTTATTGTTAAACTAATTGTTTATCAATTCAACTCTAACCCAACCTTTATCCCACCTATTTGTTTCTCTTGTCTTGTTTCTAACTTGACTATGGCCTTTCATTTGGGTGTTATGTGGGAGGTGCAGCATTCTCATCTACATATTATTGGTAAAACTATTTGCTTATCTCTTCTTTTGCAGTTGACATGACACGCACCAGTTGATCCCCTAAGCTCTGTTGTTGTAAATGATCGATGTACATATTCTCCAATTAGGACTCACTTGTTGATAAGGTTTGGTGGGGGTGACGAGATGGTCTCCATCTTGCTCGTACCAATGCTACTTTAGCCTCTCGTCCCTCTTCTTAGTCATGGTTGAGATTTGGGTAGGTTGTGTTTGTGTGCATTGTATATACCCGGTGTTTTGTTGTACAGGTCTAGTGGCACAACATGTTAGAATTGTTTTGTTATTGAGCTTTCCTGTATTGAATTTACAAAACTCGGTATATTTCCCTTAACTGAATGAGAATCTTTTGAACTTATAGTTGTAATACAAATCTCACACATGCAATCAAGCTTGGTGCATCTCACTTTTTGTTCTTTTTCAACAATTGAACCAACACATGTGAGTTATGACCTGTTATTATAAATGTATTGACAACTTGTTATTAGAAGGCCCCGCCCGGGGGTACATATTTGGTGGGTAATTGCCTTCTGATGGTGCTCAAAATTAATTGGACTGGATGGTAGAAAAGATTTGGATGAAGTCCAACGAGTGTGTGTTTGTGGGTGAACATGAGTGTGTATGTGGTACGTTGTTCAAGATGAACTTAGGTTTATAACAAGTTTATCGAGCTAAGTGAATGTAGGCTGGTCGTAGATCACCTTCTTTTAACCTTATTTCAGACAATTCAATCTCTCAAGAAGTACATCTTACAACTGTTTTACCAATCAGAGTGGAAGTAGAAAAATATATTATTTTTGAAGATCAAGAGTTAGAAAGGTAAATGCCTTACTCTACTCCTTCCTAAAATCAGGAATAACGACCTTATCGAAACCTAGGAATGAAAACCTTGCTTGGGGCTTGGCTTCGTGACTCTAAATCAATCAAAGCATGGTGTAAGAAGAAGACAATAATATGAGTGGTTCGCCTTAGTCGAAAGACTAAGGTTACGCCCACTGTAAGAGAGACTCTTGCTCCTTAAGAATTGTATTGCTTAAGGAAGAAAATTACTATTTAAAAAAAAAAAGATATTGCTTTAGTTTTACTTGATGGTTTTCTGAATGGCTTTCTCATGCACTGTAGCCTTATTGGCTATTTGTACAACTGGTAATTAGGGTTTCATGTTTATTCTTTTTGGTTGATTCTGTGGTCCCCCTTGTGTTTGTCTTTTGTCTTAGAGTTGTGGTCCCCAAAGCCTTTATGCACTCACTACTCGTCGACCGTAGTACTTGATTCGTTTCCATTACCTGCGGGTTTTTGTTCATCAAAGCTATCAGGTAATGTTCCCTTGTCCCTTGTCCACATGTTATGCTACAGTTTTTGCAGACTAGCTCTATATTGTGCTCCCATTTTTCAAATTGGTACCAATACCGAGTTTGTTAACATTGAGCTTCTCTAGAATTGGGTTGTAGCTTAGTTCAAGCCCAAAGAATATAGACTGGATGAGCTAATTGGACCGCTTTATACAAACCCAAAACATCTTGGTCTCTGAAGAGATCCAAATTTAAAACAATCATTACAATCTTCCTTTTCAGTTTTCATACATAGTTTCTAGGGATTGTTACCATTTATCATACTCGGGAGCGAAATACTGGCCTTTGTGTGGGATTGTACAAAGGACACATTCGGACAGACGATTAATTAGTTAGAAAAAGGCAAAACTGCTCAAAATGATCGAGGAACTTGAGGAGGAAAACTAGTAACTAATAATCGAGGGGGAAGGTGGTGAGCATAATTTATGGTTTGATCCCACATGGTACACCAAGTTCAAAGATAAAGGGCCAGTTGTCGGAGTGAAGTAAGAGAATCGCACATGTCTTCGGGATTTATCCTAATTATGATTGTAACTTGTATATATTAAGTTGCATCCTTATTTTTAGAGTGGAATAAAAAATAAGATAATCGTTCTCTCGTGGACCGAGGTAAATTATCAAACTATATAAAATTCTTGTATTTGATGATGCACAAATTGATTTGCACACCACCTGTCAAGTAAGCAGTATAAAATACGATAAAATAAGTTGAGAGAGAGAGAAGACAAGGTTTATAGTGGTTCGGTCAATGTGACCTATGTCCACTTTGAATGGTAAGGGTCGTCGGTATTTTATTAACTCCAGTGTGTCTAGAGTGCAAAGAATTACAAGGGATGAGATAATTATGCTCAAATGAGTGTGATTTGCCCCCCAAGTGTTTGGGGGCTTGCAATTTATAGTCTCTTCATAGTGCATATTAATTGAATGGCTAGTCTGGCGATCATAACGGATTTGGGTGATTTAATAGTAATTAAATAGTTAATCCGATAGAGGTGGCGACCTTTTCTCAACGGGCGAGTCAGTTACAATACTCTCCATAGGACTCGGTCAAAGGATAAGGTGAGGGTTGACTTTTTCCATGACAGATTGGATGAGGCTCTTGATATGACCCTTACTTCAAGGTGGCGAGGAAAATGCTCTTGGATGACCTTTACTTCAAGGTGGCGAGGAAGATGCTCTTAGATGACCCTTATTCCAAAGTGGTAGAGGAGACTCTTGGATAACCCTTACTCCAAGGTGGTGAGGAGGATGCTCTTAGATAACCCTAACTCCAAAGTGGTAGAGAAGGCTCTTGGGTGACCTTGCATATTCCCTACTGATGTAGCTTCTTGATTCTTGATGAGCTTGTCTGGGTTGACCACATTGAGCTGGATTTGCTGAATCTCTTAAAGATGGGCTATAAACTTGGATCAGGCTTATAATTTGAGCTAGACCTTTAGGCTTGACCCATCATTTGCCCCCCAATGCCCTATGTCCAATGGAACTTGGAGAGGAGTGTATTCAATTTTAAATTTGAATTTTTGGCTGATTGGCATAACTGNAAACTTGGATCGGGCTTATAATTTGAGCTAGACCTTTAGGCTTGACCCATCATTTGCCCCCCAATGCCCTATGTCCAATGGAACTTGGAGAGGAGTGTATTCAATTTTAAATTTGAATTTTTGGCTGATTGACATAACTAAAAAAACTTTGGGAGGCTATAACTTGTGCTTTAGGCCTTTTTTGAGCTTTTAATAGAATCAAACACAACCAAAGGTTGTGAGTCTTGTGGGGCTCGCCGAAAGATTCGATTTGATATATTATTGGCTCCATTTGGTGTAATGGAGTAAAAATTATGGTCAAAATAGCAAGGAGAGAGCTGAGTGCATAGTTTTAGGTGAGCAGACATCTTCTGGGGCGAGTAGGTAGTTGAATTTTTTATTTTTTATTTTTTTAAAAAAAATTTCATGAGGTCAAAATATCTATTTTGGGGCCTTTTTTTGGACTTTTTACAGCATCTTTTATTGTCAAAGGCAATGAGTTTTGTAGGGCTCGCCGAGAGTTTCGATTTGATACCGTTTAGAGTTTCGAATCAAAAGTTATGGTCAAAATATCATGCGACCCTTTTTAAATTTGAATTTTTTGAAAACCCCTTTTTATTGGCGACCCCATCCCTTTTAGTAGACTATTTTTACTTCTAGGACTCTATTGACTATATAAACTCCCTCACTCCTTTTTTTTTTTTGGATTGCTAAAGTGCCTTAGTTGTAATTTGGGGCTCTTTTTTTTTTGTCTTTTGCTTCCTTCAATGTAAATAGGGAACTTCTCTTTCATTTTGCCCATTTCCATACAATCTTGAGTGTGAAGGAGAGTTCTTTTTGAAATCCTCCAAGGACAAAGGGGTGAGATTCTTGAGTTGAAATTCTTTGAACAATGTCGAATGGTGGAGAACATGTGCGAAGATTTGCAAATCTTGGAGAAGAACTCGAAGGAATTGATGTTGTTCATGGAGAGGAGAGGGATGAGGCGTTGTTGGGCTCCACTACTGGGCGTGCATCTGAGGCACGTGAGGAGGAGGTTTGGGCGCCCTTTTTGAGGAGCTTGGACGGGCAGGAGGCCATGGGAAGGTTGGGCAAGTTGGGCTGTATAGAGGGACGTGTAAAGGAGAGGGAGATGGACTCAACTAATATGGAGGTGTTGGGCGAGCAACCTGCTTACACAAAGGAGGCGGTAGCTAGACGCCCCATGCTGAGCGCCAATCTGGTCAGCTTAGGAGAGTTGGAGACACCAGAGTATGGTGTCGTAGGTGCGGGCTACTGCGCTGCACAAGAGGGACTACTATGCTAGCTGGACTCACTAGAGGGCTTGTTTGCGCCAGGTGTTAAGCACGGGAGTGTTGTGGCAACGAGGTGGTGGTGCCACATGGACACAAAAGGATGATGCCCGATTGTTGACATTCAATTTAATGTAGTTATTCGAGTTGCAAACGACTCGAGTTTCAAGAGCTTGGCTAGAGATGACAAAAACAATGTTATTCCAAACATTAAAATATCTAACATAATTACATAGAGAGAGAGGTAGGTTGTCTGCATGAGAGTAAAAAACAAAGTTTAAGGATTGCTCGTGAGAGAGCTACACCTTTTGAGACCGAGCTTTTGGCGACCCATGAGAGAGTCTTTAAACTTGAGGTATAGGTTGCTTGCTTGAGAGAAGAGCAGAAGCCAAGCTTTTGGCGTCCTGTAAGAGAGCCACTAAGTTGGAGAAAGGTTGCCTGCTTGAGAGCAGAGCAGAGATAGGCTAAGCTTTTTTGACGACTTGCAAGAGAGTCGCTAAGCTGGAGATAGACTGCTTGCTTAAGAGCAGAGTAGAGATAGGCTAAACTTTTTTCGCGACCCGTGAGAGAGCTACTAAGATGGAGATATGCTTCCTGCTTGAGAGCAGAGTAGAGATTGGCCAAGCTTTTTTGGCAACCTGCGAGAGATCCGCTAAACTGGGGATAGGCTGCATACTTGAGAACAGAGCAGAGATAGGCTAAACTTTTGGTCAACCCACAAGAGAGTCGCAAAGTTGGAAATATAGACTGCTTGCTTGAGGGCAGAGTAGAGATATGTTAAGCTTGTGGCGACTAGTGAGATAATTCAGCTCACCTAGACCTGTTGATGTCCTCAACATTCATTTATTTTTGAGCTTTTGCCAATAGTTCTGGCATGTTCTTTGGTGGTCGCTTCATTATTGAAAATAGGAAACTCGATGAGCGGAGGCCTTTCAGGAAGGCGGTCATGGTGACTTTGTCATTGGGATCCTCAATTTAGAGGACCTCCTCGTTAAAACGAGTGAGGTAACTCCTTAAACTCTTGTATCGATCCTGTTTTATGCTGAGTAGATAGATGACATGCTTTTGCTAACGGTGTCCGCCAATGAACTGTGTCAAAAAGGATCTGCTCAGTTCGACGAAGAAGCCTATGGAGGTCGGGGTGAGTTTGGCTAACCATTGTCACGCTGATCCTTTCAAGATAGTTGGGAATGCCATGCACATAATTTTGTTGGGGGCGTTGTGTAGTTGGATTAAAGTCTTATAGGTTTCGAGGTGATAAAGTGGGTCCTTTGAACCGTTAAAGATTTTGACGGATGACATTTTGAACTTCTGGGGAAGCAGATAGTTCGCCACATTAGGTACGAAGGGTGTGTCGGTTAGCCTAACAAGGTGGCCCACTGTCTCGGGTCCTTGTTCCTTCATGGCGTTGAAGACGTTGCCTAGCTGTTTCATCACTTCTTTGATTTTTTCGTCCCACTGGTTGGGAGCTCCTTTGTAACGTGAAAATGGCTTCCATGCTCCCACATTTTGGTTTTTGCCCTCATCTTCTTGAAAATGTGGGTCTCCACTATGAGAAGAAGGAGCTCGAGGAGGAGATGAAGGTCCCTCATGGTGGGCTCTTCTGTGTGGAGCGCCCAAGTGGGGAGCTCCATGATGTCCAAGGCATGAAGCTCCTCTAGCTTGAGGTCCTCCAGGCTGTGGTCCTCCTTGTTGTCCAATCAACATCAGTTGAAGGATTTGATGGTTTTGGGCTATAAGCTGTTGCATTGTATCCAACATTTGCTGTGCATTTGGGACGGGATTGACAGGTGGAGGAACAACCTTCTCCTCTCGTATTGGATTGTCTTCAGACTGATTCATGGATCTGGTGGTGATCATAATTGATTCTAGTGGTGATCGCAATTGATTCAGCAGAGAAAGTGTTTAGGTAAAAATTTTTATCGTTTTCATAGACGACGTCAAACTGATGATGCACAAATTGATTTGCATACCACCTGTCAAGTAAGCAGTATAAAATATAGTAAAATAAGTTGAGGAGAGAGAAGACAAAGTTTATAATGGTTCGATTAATGTGACCTACGTCTACTTTGAATTGTAAAGATCGTCGGTATTTTATTAACTCCGGTATGTCTGGAGAGTAAAGAATTACAAGGGAGAAGAGAATTATGCTCGAATGAGTGTGATCTGCCCCCCAAGCGTTGGTGGGACTTATAATTTATAGTTGCCTCATAATGCATAGTAATTGAATGGCTAGTCTGATAGTCATAACGGATTGAGGTGATTTAATAGTAATTAAATAGTTAATCCGGCGGAGGTGGTGACCTTTTATCAACGGGCAAATCAGTTACAATACTTTCCATAGGACTTGATCAAAGGATAAAGTGAGAGTTGACTTCTTCCAAGGTGGATTGGATAAGATTCTTGGGATGACCCTTACTCCAAGGTGGCGAGAAGGAGACTCTTGGATGACTCTTACTCTAAGGTGGTAGATGAGACTCTTGGATGACCCTTACTCCAAGGTGGCGAAGAGGAAACTCTTGTATGACCCTTATTCCAAAGTGGCGAAGAGGAGACTCTTGAATGACCTTACATACTCCCTGCTGATATAGCTCCTTGATTGTTGATGAACTTGTCTGGATTAATCACATTAAGCTGAACTTGTTGAATCTCTGAAAGATGAATTATAAATTCAGACCGAACTTATAATTTAAGATAGATCCTTGAGCTTGACCCATCAGTATTCATCTTTTAATTTTTCTATTTTTTTGATTATTTGTCGCACACAAATCACAACACACATCATTGGTAAAATGGGTCTAAGACGGTACGTAGGTAGAGATTCTATCCTTTATTGTAGANATCACAACACACATCATTGGTAAAATGGGTCTAAGACGGTACGTAGGTAGAGATTCTACTATCCTTTATTGTAGAGCGTAACCCAAAACGAAACCCGATGTATCCCGAGAGTTAGACCACCTGTCATTTTTCATACTCCTGAACTCTTGGGTGGCCATCAAAGAAGGCTTCATTTTGTTTTTGGGCTCAAATAGATCCATCATGTGATTTGCCATGAAAAATTCGATTCTTGCACTTTGACAGACGTATTTATCTTAGTGGGTGTAGGCCACTTAAGAATGGCCTTGACTTTTTTTTTTTTGACAATATGTCCATGCCTAATACAATGTCTTAAAAATGTAATTTCTATATAAGCAAAGTTATATCTGTTTACATATTTCCTCATTTAAATACAATTCATGCTCATTGAGTTTAGCATTTAAACAATTATACAATTATATTAAACAATTTTTTAATCGAATCAAAGTTTTGTAAATGAAAAATGTTATTTGAATTTAAAATATGTATTTTATAATTATAATCGTTGAATAAATAGTGGGTCTTAATATATGATAGGACCCACATTAATGTCAATAATTATAATTATCAAGNATTTTTTAATCGAATCAAAGTTTTGTAAATGAAAAATGTTATTTGAATTTAAAATATATATTTTATAATTATAATCGTTGAATAAATAGTGGGTCTTAATATATGATAGGACCCACATTAATGTCAATAATTATAATTATCAAGTATATTTTTTAAATTTATGCAGCATTATTATTTACAAATTATCCAAAGATTATCGTATCCCGGTTTCTTTCGGCCTGATTATGTTACTCCAGTAAACAAACATGGCCAAAGAAACTCCTGGATTACTATATCCGAACCTTCTGGCCAAAGAAACATGGCCAAAGAAACCCATTCACATTTTGTGAGAAGAGAGCACACCCAAAAAAAACTAGGGNCTCCAGTAAACAAACATGGCCAAAGAAACTCCTGGATTACTATATCCGAACCTTCTGAACCATCCAATCACCAAAGTCGTCCCCCATTCACATTTTGTGAGAAGAGAGCACACCCAAAAAAAACTAGGGCTAGGGCTAGGGCTAGGGTTTGAGATCAGAAATTCTCAGCGACAATGGCGATGAGAACCTTCTACAACGAGATCAAGGGGATGAAGGTGAAGGACTTGCCGGCGCACGTGAAGCCGATGTTCACGATGGATTACGTGAAGAACGCTACCAAGAAAGCACTCGACAACTACCATGCCAAGTATATACAGACCAGCTCCATCGACCCTCTCCTTCACGTCTGCTATGGAGGCATGATCTTCTCATACCTCGTTGCTCTTCCTGAGGAGCGTCGTCACCTCGAGCACCAGCAGCATGCCAAGGAACACGGCGGCCATTGATTCGACGGTGTCCGATCCGTCTATTCCTATTGCCCAAGGTACTTATTTATTCACGATCGCTCTCTTTTATCGCTTATTTGTTAATTTTTATGCCATCAATTGGTGGAACGGAAAGTATTGTATTCGAGGGAAGGCAAGGAAAGGAAAAAGAAACGAATTCAAGCGGTCTTTAGAAGAAAAATCTGATAAAAGATGTGAAATTTATGATTTGCAATGATCGAAATTTATTCCTATTAATTTTGTTTTCTGGGTTTATGAGATTTATAAATCCAATTTGTTTTGGGGGTCATGCGTGTTAGATACATATACGCACATCTTCTCTGTTTGGTTTTAATTCAATTGAATGTTTTACTGCCATGGGTACATCTTTATGCATGTTCCCTCTTCGAAATTAAGTTTTATCTGGATCTTTCATTTTGATTATGGGTACCTATTTCGGTTATATGTGCTTGATATCAAACTGGAAAATAGACTTCTTCTAAGCTACCATGAATTCGATCTTAATAATCTAAATTGCTGCACACATATGCTTTACTGAGATGATATCGGGGAGTAATATGAGATTTGTTTCTGTATAATACTAGTTTGTTTTGAAGGCACCCTTCAATCTGTTGTTCACGTCCTGTCTGCTTGCTGTCCAATAATCAAGTCTCAGAAATTGTGAAAATCTGGATCCAAATCAATTTGGTCGTATTAATATTCTTTGTTATTTACCTTGGCCTGAGTTTAAGTTGAAATAAGACCTGCTTGTCAATCATTATTCAGTGCCGGTGTTGCAAATCTGTGGTCTGAGTTTTGGTTTTTATTTATCTTGACAATAAAAATATTGCACGAGTAGTTTTCTCTGATCATTATTGGAAACGGACATGGAAACCTCATTTGAGAAGGTTTGGCTAGAGGAACATGGATTAATGAGTGAGGGTTGACTTAAACATGGCTCAAGAGTTCTAGGCGAAAGTAGTAGAGCCTTACTATCATAACTACTAATCTGCTTTCGAAATGGGAAGTAGCCTACAAAAATTTGATACGGATCATACTCCTGATTTTTTTGAAGTTTTCAAAATCGAGGAGGCTAAAGGATCAAGATAGTAGAATTGGATTGAGAGTGATAAAATTCTACAAATTGAAAAAGTAGGACTACCAAATATACGTAACAATGCATAACTCTTAGAAATAAAGATAGAACAAATATAGTATGTATCCTAAGGGTTTGTTTGTTTAGCGGGAGAATGATAGAAAATGAAGGAAAGAGAAATTTTTTAAAATTTTCATGTGTTTGGTTAACAGGAAAAGAAAAATGATGGAAAAAATAATTTTTCTTAATGCTTGAATTTTATTACAAATAATCAATTTTTTTTTCTTGTAAAAAACATAAGGAAATGTAAAAAAGTTGTGATTTATAACTAACTTCTTATTCTTATTTTACCCTTATTTTTTTTAACATATTTTATTGGTTATTAATTTAAAAAAATTTTGGTATGAATTTGATTAATCATATAATTTGGCCCAAAAACCTTCGTATTTGTGATTGTTTTAAAATTAACTTTTGGGCCATTTTTTAAAAATTTTTTAACTTTCAATTATAATTACATATATTTTTTTTCTTTTTTAGACCGATTTAATATAATTAAGGGTAATTTAGACAATTATAAAAAATTTATTATAACTTTTCTTTCTTTTAAACAATATAATAAAATTTTTTTAAAATTTTCTTGTAAATTTTTTATTCTAACTAAATACATATATGAAAATATATTTTCTATCATTTTCTTTTCTTTCACTTTACTTTTTATCATTTTTATTTTCTATTATTTTTTTCTTTCTAACCAAACGGATCTTAGTGTACAAATGTTTTGACAAATATATAAGCTTTAGAGATATGTTTAAAACTTGAGAAACTACAATGTCAATAGTGACGAGGGTAGAAAATTAGATGTGAATGGTCAATCTTGTGGCACTTTGTGAAGAAAAATAGGAGAATTGGAGTTTTTTAGTCTCAACTTCAATAGAGAGACAGGCGGAGACAACTGAACAACGTCAAAAACTATAGAGTAAAAAATATTTTTCGACTTCCAACGAAAAAAAAAATGGAGAAGAATGGGAATGGATACCTTTTGATGATCTTGCCNCTTAATGCTTGAATTTTATTACAAATAATCAATTTTTTTTTCTTGTAAAAAACATAAGGAAATGTAAAAAAATTGTGATTTATAACTAACTTCTTATTCTTATTTTACCCTTATTTTTCTTAACATATTTTATTGGTTATTAATTTAAAAAAATTTTGGTATGAATTTGATTAATCATATAATTTGGCCCAAAAACCTTCGTATTTGTGATTGTTTTAAAATTAACTTTTGGGCCATTTTTTAAAAATTTTTTAACTTTCAATTATAATTACATATATNATTTAAAAAAAATTTGGTATGAATTTGATTAATCATATAATTTGGCCCAAAAACCTTCGTATTTGTGATTGTTTTAAAATTAAGTTTTGGGCCATTTTTTTAAAATTTTTTAACTTTCAATTATAATTACATTTTTTTTTTCTTTTTTAGACCGATTTAATATAATTAAAAGTAATTTAGACAATTATAAAAAAATTATTATAACTTTTCTTTCTTTTAAACAATATAATAAAATTTTTTTAAAATTTTCTTGTAAATTTTTTATTCTAACTAAATACATATATGAAAATATATTTTCTATCATTTTCTTTTCTTTCACTTTACTTTTTATCATTTTTATTTTCTATTATTTTTTTCTTTCTAACCAAACGGATCTTAGTGTACAAATGTTTTGACAAATATATAAGCTTTAGAGATATGTTTAAAACTTGAGAAACTACAATATCAATAGTGACGAGGGTAGAAAATTAGATGTGAATGGTCAATCTTGTGGCACTTTGTGAAGAAAAATAGGAGAATTGGAGTNGACTCGGGTCCCATTTTTGATATCCAAAGTTCCAATCATCTGCTGCATAACGAGTCCAGAGTTCGAAATCGACCCGAATAAGTGCTCTCCAACAGCCAAACGTTTTGAGTAAATGGTTATTCGACATACCCATCATCTTCCAATCTTGCCAGATTATAAGAGAGTAGCCATTAGATTTTGGGTGCAGGCTGTGTGTGTGTGTTCTATTTGGAAAATCAAACAGTATAATTTGAATAATCAAACAATTTGATTAATTGGTGATCCTAAAGCTCAAGCCTAAATTCCAAGGCCATAAGTTTATTTTCTATTTACATGAAAAACGAAGTATGCACAGACACACACATGTAAGCATGTATAAAGAAATCTCTGGGTACAAGGTGAGCCAAGATTTGAATCAAAGCTCTGTTCGAGGGTCTGCTTCTTCTTCTCCACCAAATTCAGAGGATAAGCTTTCCTTCACTTTATGTGCCGTTTTCTGCAAAGTTTCCCCTGCTAATTTTGCAGAATCTTCCACCGTCGATTTGCTTTTACCCCATGTCTTCACAGCAGCCACTTTCACCTTCTCTCCTGCTCCACCTCCTTCAATGGCTTCTGCTTCATCACTGCTCCTAAAACTACAAATTCAGTCCAGAATCAGAACAAGGGACTACTCGTATGATTTGCATTCATATTTTTATTTTTCTTTTTCTTTTTGCAACAGAATGTCTGGTCTAGTTTACGCACATCTAAATTCCCTCTTTGATAGAGAAATCATGGTCCAGTTTACGCACATCTAAATTAATCGTTTTTTTAATAGAGAATTTACGAGGAATAAATTTTCATAGTTTGACTTTGGGATTAATTTGCATTCATATTTTCGAAATTGGGTTCAAANATCGTTTTTTTAATAGAGAATTTATGAGGAATAAATTTTCATAGTTTGACTTTGGGATTAATTTGCATTCATATTTATTACTGTCGAAATTGGGTTCAAGCTTTTGCAAACCCACAGGTACTTCTTACAATGGATCGAACTAATGAGAATTCTCGATTTAGTCGGTTCTCATCCTTTTCGAGATGAGGGTTTACATACCACTATAGCAGATATTAACAAACAATCGAATATAATGGCCTCGAAAACTCACTCTAAATTTGGAGGAAAGAAATAGGTCTGTGCTTGATTCATCATTGTTTTCACCTTCATCCAATAGCTGCTTGTGCTTACCGAAGGGAGGGAGAACATACTTCTAACCGTCTCAAATGCAGACCTTTTATTCTCTCCGATCTCCATATCGGATTGTTCTGCTTCATTACCAGCTGCAGAGAGAAGAAAAATGAAGAAGAAGGTCAGTGCGCTTTCTCTGATAAGTTTATAATCCATTGGCTCTGAATCTGGATGTTTAAGAGGTGAGACTGGATCATTAGCGTTGTCTTGGTCGGAGAACGAAGACAACCGTATTTTAGGGAGAGGGAGAGAGACAGAGAGGGGTTTGGTGTTAGCTTAGTTTGTGGACACGTTTGCTGTTTCAACTAAACGACGAGGTGTTATGCTGAAGGAACGTGGCCTTAGTATGGTCCCTCTTGGCGCACACGTTGTGCATCCTAGCCCAAGTTTGTTCTCAGCTAGCGTCCGGTCCGAGGATCATGTGAAGGACCATTACATTCGGTTATTAATGGCGAGATGAAAATTTTGTATCCTCAATCCGAGGATCAAATTATAGATATATTTATCAAGTTATTTAAATTCGATGCATTTATGAAGTTAAGCGGATGACGGAGATGATCCAGATTGAAGAGTTTGGTTTAAGGGAGACTCTCGGAGTTTGACCCAAATTCTTTAAGTGTTTTATTCTTTATAGATTTGGTATTTAATGGAGCTCGAAATTATTACACCCAATTGTAGAACGATGCCAGTGTGTTGTGTCGCCCAGCGAGAGCTTTGTGAATGTTTGGGCTAACAAGGAAGCAAATATGAGTAGTTCAATCTTAGTCGAAAGACTAAGATTACATTTACTATAATAAAGGTTCTTGGTTCTTGAGATTTATATTGTTTGAAGAAGAAAACAGTGGTTACAGTAGGTTACTAGGCTGAGAGCCTCTCTCTTACACAGGGTATTGTGAATAGGAGTGTCAAACACATCGAGTTAAACAGTTACGTGCCGGGTTAAATGGGTGACGGATGAAAAACATGTAAATCCGTACACGACATGTTTAATAAACGAGTGAAAAATTTTAACATGAACATGACCCATTTAATAAATGGGTAACAGGATATGACTTGCTTAACCCGTTTAATATAAAAAAAAATTATATTAACAAATTTTAATACACTAATTTTTTTTATTGTCAATTGTATACCTCAAAAAAGAGTAAATTTTAATCAAATTTCACATAAAAATCAAATTTGAAGGCTAAAAACAAAGACAAGAGACCATTGTTTTTTATAGACAAGGCAACCCTCATCATCTCTTCACATTTGCCAATGTGAGATAAAAACAAAAGGGTTGGTTTGTCTTTGTTATGAACTGCTGTCATCTCCCCTCATTTGTCTTTGAACTACTACTTTACTTTTTTTTTTTTTGGTATTGATTTCTTTACTTTTTTTTTTCTGGCTAATTTTTTAAAATAATTATTAATTTATTATTATATTAATTTTATTTTAACGGATAAACGTGTGATAAACAGTTTCACAGATCTCCCCCCGAATACAACCCGTTTATTAAACTTGTCTGACGGGTTAACCCGTTTACTACCCAAACCCGTTAAGATCTTACTCAAAGCCGCTTAATTAGTGTTAATTCGTGTTGGTTAATCGTGTCGTGCTGAATTTTGACAAATCTAATTGTGAATGGTATTCTGGGACTCTCTCTCTCTTTTTGTACAGTGATTTCGTTTTCTATTTATACATGTGGTTATCTAGGGTTTCCATTTCATTTGTCCTGTAGTGGGGTATGTCACCCTAACAAACTTTGCGCCCACAATCCTCAAAACGGTATGCGAACAAATATTCAACAAATATTCCTTTTACCAAGGAATATTTGTTCGTTAGGATCATCAGAAGCTGTCCCCTGGACACGTGGCGCAACGAAGGCGACTTAGGATCTATTTCGTCCCGAGCTCCTAGTTCTCGGGTTGGTCCACTCTGCCGAACTTGATATAATCGAGTAGACATAGGTCTCGATGTCATTGAACTTTCTTCCTTGGGCTGTGGCCCACTCTTATGACGGAGTGAGCGTGCTACAAATGAGTCGCTTAGGTTGTCATGTAACCAAGAAATCCATCAGATGTTTTGGGTTTCGAATAGGTAGCCCAAGTCGAAATTCATCATTATCAGTATTAATTTATAATTAGAGTTTTAATGGGTTTAAGAGTTTTGACCCGTAAAATATTCTAGTTAGTTTTGAATAATTTAATTAAAGTTAATTTAGGATTAGTTTATGATTAGGAGTCAATAACTTTTGGTCTTTATATTTTGTAATGTCAATAACTTTCGGCCAAGTTTGTTTTGAATGAAAGATGGCTTTTGCCTCTAATGTTGAGTTCCAGCGTTACTTTTTGTTTCCTTTTCTTCTGACTTTTATTTCCTTCAATGATTCTTTATCTTTTTGATTAATTTTTGGTGTGATATTATTTTGAGTGTTTAATATTATTATTTTGAGATCCTACGTGCGATGTACCATCTTTTTTTTTTTTCTGTCAATTTTCTTATTTGCCATTTATTTTTTCTTACCCGTTGTTTTATAAGTTAGTAAAAATATTATACAAAATATTGGATTATATATTTTAATGTTAAAAAAAATTAAGTTGTGATTAGAGAGAATTTATAGATAGTTATTTGAGACATTTGATAGAAAATGATTTAAGGATGAAAAATTTACAATTAAACGAGATGGAATGATTCTCGAGCACTCTCATTAAAAAATTAATTATTATAAATATCTATATCTATACTATTATAAAATTTCAACATGTCAACAAAAGTGAAAAACTTTTGTTTGACTATATATTAACCCTAATAATATACTTAATGCCCATCCTACTCTTTTAGAGTTAATCATTACCCTTAAACAATTGTATTGTGTAAAATTAATTACCCTAATTAATTACTAACAATGTATAAAGTGAGATTGGTGCCAACCTCAATAATGCAAATGAATTGTCAATGATGACAGTTGCGTAATCCTGCCCAAGCCAATGCCTCTTACATCTCTCTCTGTTCCTCTCTTGCCCATGCAACTAATGTATGAGTTACTCTTTTAGTAATGCTAGATATATTTAAAAATTAAATTTGATAATCTCAATCATTGAATAGATAGTGGGTCCCAATAAATACTGGAATCTACAGTGAAATCAATGATTGATATTATCAACTCTAATTTTTAAATCTACTTTTTAAGTTCATGTAGAATTACTCGTTACTCTTTAATAAACGAACCAGTTGATCTTCCATGGCTTTGTTAATAGTTCACAAACAGCAACGAAGCAGGTTGGCAGTTAGAATTCAAGGCGATTCGAGCAATCTGTATATAACTGTCAATTTTTCTCTGATACAACAACTGCTATTAAGTCACTCATTTAACCTTTGACCGTATGTATTCTTACGCTCACCAAATTTTGGGATCAAATTTAGAGCTCAAATAACATAACAGCTGACTTGAGTTTCTTTATTTGGTGCGATGTCATTTGAGCCCCAATAAAGACTCTAAATAATATGTTGTCATGTGATTTGGATTTTAAATTTGGTCTCAAAATTTGATCGGTGCAGTATTACTGTTATTTTATTTACCTTCAATATATAGTTGCATTTTGGATCTATTTTTAATTTTTCCCCATTTCATCTTTTATTTGTTTTTCTCGTCCTATATCAACACAATACTTCAATTAGAAAAAACCTTCTAAATTATAGTAAGAGTTTGTATGAGTAATATTAATTTATTCTTTAGTAAATTTAAAATATTTTTCAAAATAAAGTAAATTTTTAATAAGAGTAGACTCATAAGAATTGTTTTTATATATTTTAATGACTTATATTTAATTTTTCAAATCTCACTAGATTTTAGATGGTAAAACTTTTGCAATTATTTAACGTATTATAAACAATAAAAATATAAGTTTTATGTGATGATATTTAATTACCTTCAAGTATGTTTTATTTTCATTCAAGTGTGAACCCTTTCATATTTCCACATTGTAGGTCATAAACAAAGCTAACAAACGTTGCTATAGATCAGTTCCTACTCTTCAACCCTTTTGGTTCACCAGCTCATTTTTTTTTTGGGAGAGGGAGAGGGAGAGGGAGAGGGGAAGGGGAAGAGGGACTTGAACCTTTGATCTCAATAAGACCAAGTGAGATAAAGTCTTCATAAGGTAAAAAGTACTATTGGACTAAAGACCCGTTGGTTCACCAAGCTCATAAACTTCTCTCTCACCATCTGTTTAAATATTGCCAAATCAACTGGCATCATTAACCATCTATAGTTTTGATTTGAAATTTAGAAAAGGGAACACCAAAATTGTAATTCAATATAATGTCAAACCCATATTACTCCTCTGATTTACATCTTAGGCATGTGTCATTGTAGGAGTTATTTTTTTTTCAATTAAACCTCGACAAAGTGAGGACTCACTTTATTGATAAATTGAGATAATATCTTGGGAGACTTAAAGCCTTGCCCTTACATTCAAGCAAAATTACAAAGGGGTTTCACAGTTTGTCCCAGTTACGCCTGAGCCTTTTTTTTTTTTTGATAAAGTTGAGCCTTCTTCAAAAGGAGAGATTCAAGAGATATTAAAAAGTGATGTTCTTGAGATAATGTAATAGTTTAGTGTACTTCTTCTTTCATGTAACTTAGTTATTTAAAGGGTGATGATTTTTAAGTATGGATTATAGCATATAAATGGTTCAAGAAGGCTTACGTATTTAAATTGACTTCTTTTAGTTACCAGTTAATTTGTTTTCTTCTTCATCATCATCAACTTGTGGACTAAATGATAAAGCTGAAGATCACCACATGGAGAACAAGATAATTTCGCAAATCTAATACACCACATATTAGGTAAATGAACAAAGAAAAAAAGTACAGAACCTTTCCTGTTAATATGGTGATTTTAGACAAATACCGAGGACATTGTTAAAAGCTAATTGCTATGACAAGATATTGAAGAAGTGTTCTGCAGGTATCTTCCCCCTTTCAACTGCTGCCTCTAAAGTTCAACAAGAGGTTCACTCTCTAGGTTAATCAAGTGATTTTTTCATTTTTTTTATGCACTGGTTCTGTATAGAGAATTACTCATTTTATACAGAGAATCACTCACCGTCTCTGAAACATCCCTTAGTCATTACTTATTCATTCACTTACCCATACAATATTTGCTCTTTTGCTTCTTTTTTTTGCCTGAACCCCTCGCTAGCGATACATGTTGTATCGCCCAATATTTGCTCTTTTGTAACTCCTTTTCTTTTGCCCATTTTTTTTAACTCTTTTTGGGCTCA